GGTCTCCTGCAGATGCAGAGGTGTGGTCTCCTGCAGATGCAGAGGTGTGGTCTCCTGCAGATGCAGAGGTGAGGTCTCCTGCAGATGCAGAGGTGAGGTCTCCTGCAGATGCAGAGGTGGGGTCTCCTGCAGATGCAGAGGTGGGGTCTCCTGCAGATACTGAGGTGGGGTCTCCTGCAGATGCAGAGGTGTGGTCTCCTGCAGATGCAGAGGTGTAGTCTCCTGCAGATGCAGAGGTGTGGTCTCCTGCAGATGCAGAGGTGAGGTCTCCTGCAGATGCAGAGGTGTGGTCTCCTGCAGATGCAGAGGTGTGGTCTCCTGCAGATGCTGAGGTGTGGTTTCTTGCAGATGCTGGGGTGGGGTCTCCTGCATAGTTTCAGATGTGACTGAACTAAGTTTAATAGTAGGTTGTGGAGTTAGAATTTCATGCTGAACTTGAAGAGGAAATGTCACTTGAGTAGTAGCTGTGGTCTTCTTCAGGGATGAAGAATTTTCAGCCTCTGTAGTGGGTTCTGAGGTTGTGGAAAGGGGTAGGCCCATTGGTTGAGATGTGACCTTGTGTGTCATTGGAGTCCAGGTTGGAGTCGGACCTGTGATAGAAAATGGGGATTGGGTTGTAGAATCCTTAGGTGGTGTTGAAAGGTCAGTTAAGGTCTCCTGTATGGTTGGAGAAAGTCCAACCTCCATATTTGATTCTGGAGTAAAGGTAATTTCTACATCAAAATGATGTGGAACCATGACTTCATTCAGATTGGGATGCTCAGACTGAATCTTATCTGGAGGTAGAAAGATTACCTCAGGTTGTTCTGGAGTTGTTTTCTTTGGAGCTGAAGAATGTTCATGCTCTATGGTGGAGTCAGGGGTTAGTGTAACTTCCAGGTCAAATTGTTGAAATATCACATTGGGCAATGCTGAATGCTGAGTTTCATTCTGACCTGTGACGAGAACTGTCACCCCCTGATTTTCTTCAGATTGCCCCATAACCTCCGTAGTTGGCTTTATAGGTTGACTTGGGGCCTCATCTACTGTTGGAGGAAGTTTATCTTCAAGAACAGCTTGTATAGTTACAGACAGTTGGATGTCTACAGGTTGAAGTATTACCTTAGGCCACTTTTTTAGGTCCTTAGAATGTTGGGCTGCAGTAGAGATTTCTGGAGTAATTGTGAGTTCCAGGTCCACAGGTTGAGATGTGACACTGGGCAATACTGGACTCTGAGTTACATCTTGATTTGGAGTGGGACCTGTCGTCTCATAGTGCCCTGGAGGTTGTACCACCATCTCATGAGGCAGCACTGGAAGCTCAGTTGCATCTACATCCTGAACTGAAGGAAGTTCTATGTCCAGTGGAAGTATTGGAAAGGGTTCCACCTTCTCGGGGAGTTGTGCAGGCAGAGATGAAGCCATTTGAGTAGTTGTAGAAGCACTTTGCTGCTTGTGAGAATTCGGAGTCTGCGTTATAGTCTCTTGATGGACTGAAGAGCCAATATTTTCAGGGCTTTGAGGGGGCTGGGAAGGGACACCATACTGGGTTGGAGAAAATGCAACTTGTTCATTAGTCTGTGGAGTTATGGTCAACTCCAGATCCACATGTTTCACTGTGGTTTTAGGCAACGTTGGTTCATTATGACTTTTGAACATCATTTCTAGATCTAAAGGTGAAAATTCCCAGCTATCTGAGAGTGGAGGAATATTATAGTCCATACTGGGTATTGGTGATGGAACTGAAAGTTCTGGCTGGATGGATGGAAGCTCAGTACTCTCAGAGGGCTTGGGGAGCAGAGTTGTGCTCTCTTCTTGGCTTGGAGAAGGTGCCTCTTCAAGCCCTGGAGAGATTGCTTGATAAATGGGAGATGGTTCAACAGTTGTAGGGGGTTTTGGCTGCAAGGTTGTGACCTCATTCTGGTCTTCCAAGGGACCAGACTGTTCAGAGAACATTGAGGACTGGTCAGGGACCTCCTGTTGGGTTGTTATCTCAACATCATTCATCTCTGAGGGTTTAACGGTATTGTTCTGTAATGGTGCAGGTGGAACTTCATGAAGTTCTGTAGATGGAACAATTTCATTAGGAAGCTCTGGAGGCTGAGGTGGCACTTCTACCTCTGGAGGCTGGGTTGGAGGTATAACCTCTTCAGAGGTCTGTGTAGTCTCTGCTGTGGCTTCCTGTTGGGTGGAAGGCTTTTCATGTCCACTAGGTCCTGGAGCTGGAGCCTCTTCTTGGATTGATACAGGTATGGTCACTTGAGAAGGCTCTGGTGGCCCAGATGGGGACTCTTGCTGGGTTATAGGAAGTCCCATATCATTCCCTAGGACTGAGGGATAAGCTGGAGCCTCACTGGGGATTGGAGAACTCCCCCACGCATCTGTTGACTGTGGTGTGATGGTAATCACCACATCTGGAGGTTTACCAGTCAAACTGTCCAAGTTTGAATGCTGAGATTTATTTAGGCCTGGAGGTGAAACTGTCCACTCATGATGCTCAAAAGACTGAGCTGGTTGTTCCTGCTGGGTTAGAGAAGATTCAACCTCCCCATTGTGCTCTGAAGCCTGAGCAGGGACTTCAGGCTGTATTACAGAAGGCTGAGTCTCCCCAAGAGACTCAGGTTGAGATGCCTGCTCCTGCTCACTGAAAGCAGGTTCTGTCTCTTCTCTGTAACCTGCAGGACCAGCTGGAGCCTCATTGTGGGATAGAGGCGATTCAGTCTCCTTGGTAGGCATTGCAGTGATGGTCACTATCACATCTGGGGGCTTATCTGTAATATAGGAGACGTTGGCATGGTGAGCTTGGACCTCTCCTGGAGACTGAGCTGTCGGCTCATGGTTTGGGGGACTTGCCTCTATGCTTTCCAAGGGGGCCTCTGGAGCTTGAACAGGAGCCTCCTGCTCACCTGGAGGTCTGACTCCCTCAAAAGGTTTTTCAGGCTGAGCTGGGGCTTCTAGATGGGTTTCAGAAGGTTCTCCAAACTCTGGGAGCTCTGAAGGTTGAGCTGGCACCTCTTGTTGGGTAGATGACAGCTCTTCCTCCAGAGGTCTCCCTGGAGGCTGGCCTGCAGTGTGTTGGTGACTGGGAGTGGTGAAGGTAATCTGGACATCTGCAGGTTGAACTGTGGCATCTGGCAGTGTTGAATGTTGAGGCTTTTTTTCCACTGATGGTACAACCTCCTCGCTAACAAGCTGTTGCACTGGTTGCTCTTCCTGATCTGCAGGGGACCGGAGCTTCTCAGGAGTCCTGGGGTTTTGAGTATGGGTCTGCAGGTGGACCTCAGCAGATTCATCTTGCTCAAGGGGTTCTAGAGGTTCATCTGCATCCTCTTTGTCTTTCTGAGCCACACTGTCAACATCAACTACCTTTATACTTGAGTCTAGCTGAGATCCTGCCAGTCGATTTTGAGCTACTCTCAGCTCATGCTTTTGCCGCCTCCGCTCAAAGAAACTAAGCCAAAAGGGATCCTTCATTCGCTCCTCGGGTGCAAGAACAAATGCTTTCCCTTGTGAATTCACAGTATGTTTTGGTATCTTAGATGAGGGTTGCTCTGAAGCCTCAGCTTGAGCAACGTTTTCTCTGGTACTTTTGAGTGGATCTAGCTGAGATTGTGCCAATCGGTTTTCAGCTGCTCTCAGCTGAAGTTTTTGCTGCCTCCGCTCATGGAAACCAACCCAAACTGGATCCTTCAGCCGCTCCTCGGGGGCAAGAACAAATGCTTTCCCTTGTGAATTCACAGTATGTTTTGGTATCTTAGATGAGGGTTGCTCTGAAGCCTCAGCTTGAGCAATGTTCTCTGTGGTACTTTTGAGTGGATCTAGCTGAGATCCTGCCAATTGGCTTTTTGGATCTGGCTGGGATCCTGCCAATTGGCTTTTTGGATCTGGCTGGGATCCTGCCAATTGGCTTTTTGGATCTGGAAATGCTTTCCCTTGTGAATTCACAGTATGTTTTGGTATCTTAGATGAGGGTTGCTCTGAAGCCTCAGCTTGAGCAATGTTCTCTGTGGTACTTTTGAGTGGATCTAGCTGAGATCCTGCCAATTGGCTTTTTGGATCTGGCTGGGATCCTGCCAATTGGCTTTTTGGATCTGGCTGGGATCCTGCCAATTGGCTTTTTGGATCTGGCTGAGATCCTGCCAATTGGCTTTTTGGATCTGGCTGAGATTTTGGCAATTGGCTTTTTGCTGCTCTCAGCTCAAGCTTTTTCTGCCTCTGCTCATGGAAACTAACCCAAACTGGATCCTTCATCCGCTCCTCGGGTGCAAGAACAAATGCTTTCCCTTGTGTATTCACAGTATGTTTTGGTATTTGAGGTGAGGGCTGCTCTGAAGCCTCAGCTACAGCAATGTTCTCTGTGGTACTTTTGAGTGGATGAGGCAGAGGTTGGGCCGGGTTCTGATCCTCACCTAGCCCTGGCACCATCTGTGGGAGTTTGTGCTCCAGATTTAACTTGCCTAGTGTGTCATGATGAGAAATAGTAAAATCATCAGAGCCAGGAGGTAGCTGTCCTGCAGAATCCGTATTGGTCTCAATTAGCTCCTGAGGCTCAGCAAGCATCTGAGATCCTAGCAAATAAAATCATCACAGTTACGATGTGAGAAGAGGGTGAAGACCTGGACTCAGTAGGTCCATCAGTATAATAGTTAAAGTAGTACAGTGACAGACAGACAGACAACACACACACACACACACACACACACACACACTCCTTCTCCCCCCCCCCTCCATTTCCCATTGGATCAGGGGAGGGTCCTAAGCCCTGAGGGACACTGCAGCCACACTTTCCCTCACCTGGCTGCAACTTCTCCCCTCCCCTTCCCTACTTAAACCTAGTTTGCAGCCATGTGGTCTCCATCTTGCTTGGCAGGGACAAGCAGTTTGGTAAAATTAACTTTTCTTGCTGCCTGAAAGCAGGTGGTGTTCTCCTTACCTGCTTATACCTAACATAAATGGTGCTGTGTGAATTTGGGAAGGTTTTCAAGTCAGGATAGGTGGGATTCCTCTCCGTTTTGATCCCCCCCTTTCTATTTTTCTTTTCCTCTGAGGAATATTCCCCAGTTCATACTGCCCTTTTTCCCTCGAACTGAACTTCTGCAAGATGCCACATTAGACTTTTTGCCAAAACCATTGCTGGCCTCCACATCCATGCTCACCACTTCTCCATTCCAGTGAGTGAAATGTGTCTAGGGGGCACTGGAGGATGTGGGATGCTGCTTCCATCGAGTAAGCTCTCTTTCACTCACCAGACTGGCTGCCTCCTGAGCTTTTAAGCCCGAGCCGGGACACTCAGTTGGAATGCCTCTTGCATGTGCCATGAGGCCTGGTCAAAATATTCTCACACATACAGTTTTTGTCACTGCAATGGTAATGGTCAGAAGTCTTTACTTTCAGTCTCATCTTTGCTCTCTCCTTAATTTTCTCCAACCTTTTGGCTTGTGCCTGCAAGAGTGTGACACAGGCTTGGTCCTGTGGACACCCCTGTAGGTTCCCTCTCAGAGGCTAGCCATTCTACGTTTGATTTTCAATCTTTCTCTCCCCTCCCACTGGACTGGAGATCATTTAACTTGGTCCAATTTAAGTTAAAACTGGAGGGCAGAGACAGCTGAGAAAAGCCACTTCGTTATACACCACCTGTCTGAATCCTTCTTCAGGGGCAGTAGCCTGAAACCTCTAAAACTTGCAAAACAAGTTACCTGCTAAAAGTTCCTGCTGACCCCGGCCATATAAACCCTGCCACAACCAGATTCTGCTCCCTGGAGTGTACCCCAACAAACTTTTCTTTTATTAATCTTTAACTCCTCCTGTGTGTTTTTTCCTCACTTAAAACCATAGATCTGGGGCTGGGAAGGTGGTTGAGTGGTAGAGTGCTTGCCTTGCATGCATGAGACCCTGGGTTCAATTCCTCAGCACTACATAAGCAAAAAGAAAAAAGCTGGAAGTGGTGCTGTGGCTCAAGTGGTAGAGCGCTAGCCTTGAGCTGAAGAGCTGAGGGACAGCGCCCAGGCCCAGAGTTCAGGACCCACGACCGGAACCAAAAAAACCATTTATCTGGTGCGGAACCCAGGAAGATGGTACTGCTTCACTTTGCTCTAAGGCGATCAACTGGCATTGCCCCTTCTCAGCCTCTCTCTTCCCTTGCTCCTCTCTTGAGACCTCCTCAATCAGGAGCACAGAACCTGCTGAGCTTTCTTTGGGCTAAATAGCCACCTGGAAAGACCTCATGACCTTTGCCTCTGTAAGCTGTGCATATGTTTTGGATGGCCACCTAGTGGCTTGGGATATCATTGGCTATCTCTGTAAACCCACCTGAAGCCTCTACCTCTATCTCTCTCTTTCTCTCCCTTTATCCTTTGTCTGACCCAGGACCTCAGCCTGGCCTTCTGTGCACCCACCATCTTTGAATTGGGTAAGTCCCTACCCTTTGTCTCAGAGTGTCCTGTCTTGCTTTCCAGGAACTCAGCTCCCCCAAAGTCAGGAGAGCTCATGCTGGAGTCTGTATTCCCCTCACCCCTACACCCCTCACAGCCCCGGTCTTTGGCCTTGGTGCTGAGAATGATCATTGACACTTCGTCTTCTCTGTCACTCCTGTTTTTGGTAACTCTTTGGTTAATACAGAGATGCCTTCTTCGGCCTTAGTTTTACCCTGGTGCCTGGGCACCATGAGAAACCAAAATTCCAAACCAGACCCACACACTCCCTTGGGTTTCTTATTGGCTAACCTCAAACCTCTAGGCCGAAGACCTGATCTTTGACCAAGAAAATTAATCTTCCTCTGTAACTGGGAATGGGCTATGTACCAGCTCGATAACCTCCCTGGCCTCAAAATGGGGCTTTCCATTTCAATATACTAACCGATCTCTGCAATTTCTATGAGCAACCGGTAAAGTGGACTGAAATTTCTTTCATCCAGGGATTCTTCTACTTATGCTCTCATCCCTCTCCCTTTGTTTCTCCTGCCTCCTATTCTCAACTCTTGCTCATGTAGCAAGATCCCTCCAAAAGTCTCCCCCTCTCTCTTCCTCTCCTGACACTCTTGACTCTGTTTTCCTCCTCACCCCTGTGGCCCATCCACCACCCTATGTGCCATCTGACCCCACCGGGCCAAGGGTCTAATATTCTCATCTGGCATGATCTCCCTGTTATACTTTCCACTGCTCTTACTACAGAGGAGCATGAGCCAGTTCATCAGGCCTGTGCCAAGGCTCATGAGAACGAGATCCACCTTAGAGATACAAACATGCCCGTGGGAACTGAGGCAGTCCCCAGCCAGGACCCTCATTGGCAATATCAGATAGACACAGCTGAGGGTTGCAATGGCTTACGTAGACATAAAATGATTCTGTGCCTTTTGGCTGGATTATAGGCAGCCTCCCATAAGGTGATGAACTTTGTCAAATTGTGGAAAATTACTCAACTATGGGATGAGAACCCTGCTGCCTTTCTAGCTAGACTTCTAGCCCTGACTAAGTATACCCACGTGGACCCCACCTCTCCGCCTTGGGCCAGCTTTTTGGCCTCTCATTATATTTCTCAGTCAGCCCCAGACATAAAGAAAACACTTTAAAAGGCTGAGGATGGCCCACAAACACCAATGTGTGACCTGGTGAACATGGCCTTTAAAGTATTCCATGCCCATAAGGAGCAGGAAAAGACTGATAGGGAAGCCTACTCTCACCAAAAGGCGGCCTACCAAGCCCAAGCTCTGGTCACTGACCTGAAGCCCCGTACAACGCATGGCTCTGGAGAAAAGCGCCAACCACCTGGATCCTGCTTCAAATGCACCCAGGAGGGGCACTGAGCAAGACGATGCCCTAAACCCGGTCCTCCTCAGACACCATGTCCACTGTGTGATCAGAAGGGACACTGAAAGCCTGACTGCCCCTCTACGCCGAGCCATGGGGGTACAGTCCTTCCCTCCCCTGACTTGCTGCCTTTGGTCTTGGGCCTGGCCACTGAAGACTGAGGACGCCCTGCTTTGCTGACCCCGATCACCCTCCTCCAGCCTAGGGTAATGATCCAGGTAGCGGGTAAGGCCATTTCCTTTTTGGACAATGATCACGGGGCTACCTATTTGGTCCTCCCTTCCTACTCGGGCCCCCCAATTCCTTCACAGGTCTCAGTTATGGGAGTTGAGGGACTTCCCTCCCAGCCACCAGCGAAGGGCCCTCTTACTTGCCTGATATATGCAATGGAGGTACTAAGAGGAATGAGACCCAGCCCTGCTCTTAGCCTTAAAATCTAGCAAACTTCTCCACCCAAGCGGTACCCTGAGGCAGTTTCACAAGCCAAAGGAAAAAATTGTAGCCATAAAGAAGCTCAAGAAATTGTAAAGAGGGTAGTAGAGAAAGCTTGAGGAACGGAATTCAAGGAATTGTAAAGAGGGTAGTTAAGAAATTCTTGGGAAAGGAATTGGGGGAAAATTTGGTTTCCTCTGGATAAGAAAGTACTTGAAAAGGAAGGGACTCCTGGTG